ATATCTGATCTACCCATCAATCTGTGTCCCTCTCATCTTAAGAGGGAAAGATTAGATGTGGCACATAAAGGTGAGCGTGGTGTCCCCTGGTGAGCTCAAAGCAGGATGAAGATGAATTTCTTATAGATTGGGTCCYTAAGAAAGAAGACTGGCATCGAGCTCATGGTTCTGGAGAGACAAGTGCCCTCTCTTGGTATTTAGAGGTGAAGGTTTTCAGATGAAGCACTCCTGCACCCCAACCCCTACATCCCCCTTGCCAGCTAAGTGTCTTTGCCTGCGTGTTTGATCTCTTCTGACCTCAGAGTCACCACTGTTAAAATGGTGACAATTTTATTTGCTAATGGTATTAAATGATATAATGCTTTGCCATGGTCTACAGAGTCACATCAACTTCATGGGAAGCTTGTCAGAAATGCAGTTTCTCAGGTACCACCCAGCCTCACTGCCAGAATCTGCGCTTTAACAAGTTCTTGAAGGTGCTGACCCATGCATGTAATGTGCACACAGTAAGCACTTAGTAGATGTTATTTTTTTTTCTCCTGGGTTTCCTGTTTCTCCCCATCCCTTCCTCTGTCTTTATCTGCTGTGCTTGTTCCACAGGGTGTTGGTTAGGACTCCTGAACCAACTAGGACAGAGTTGGAGATCAATTGGGTTTTCAAATAGCTATGGTGCTTTGGGTTGCCCAGAATTCATAAGGAATAATGAGGTGTACACAAATCATCCCACTTTTTGCAACAGGTAAAAGATGATTTCAAATGGATAGAACAACACATGTCATTCCTGCCCCATCTGCTCCCTCACTCTCTACATCCAATCTGTCACCAGGGAGAGATACTTTCACCTTCTGATGCTTTTAACAATCTGCTCTGATGTCACTCCTTCCCCCCACCTCCCATCACACCTCTATACCAATCTGCCATTGTCTCTGGATTGCTAAACTGTAGTGGATGCTTACTAGTCTTTCCATATCCTCTCTAGTTCCCTCGACTCAACAGAGAATACTCTACCATGCAAGGAGTCATTTAACAAAAAAAATCTGGTCAAGTTCTTATCCTGTTTAAAATCCTTCTGAACATCTCATTGCTTTGGAAATAAAGGATAAAATCCCCAATATATCCTGTAGCACCCTGTGTAATTTGGAAAGGACCATTTCATCTGCAGGCACCTACCCTGGTTCCCTGGGTTCTAGCTAAACTTTTAGTTCCTAGACCTTAAGGAGGGTCTTCCTGCCTTGGGGTCTTTGGATAAGCATTCCTTCTGCCTAAAATATTCTTTTCACCACCAATTTCAGCTCAGAGACAAGCCTTCTTCAAAGACCCTCTCTGGCCTCCTGGAAGGACCAGGGCCCTGTTATAAGCCCTCTTTGCACCRTGTCCTTTTTATACCATGGAACAAAATAATGTTAATCAGTTTGTAATGAAATAGCTCATTTAATTAATATGCATCAGTCTTTAAACTATCAGACCAAAACACTATCTACTTCGTGTTTTGCTCAAACGGTTAGTATTGAATTTCTAACACCTAGAACAGTGTTTAGCATTAATTATTTGTTTAATGAATGAACCAGTGAAATGTTTCTAGGAAAGGAAAAGGCAAAGAAGAGCTTGAGGGAATCTTTTCTAAGAGAGAAAAAGGAGATATGACGATGTAAAATTAATACCCTCAAGCTGAACAGTGCACTTTAGAATCTAAATGCTCAGATGGCAGCCCTAAGACTAGCCAACTGAAACTGAGCAAATCTCAAAGACAGAATCTGCGAGTTCTCAACTCTGGGAGGGAAAAGAGGGAGAAGGGGAGTTGCACAGAAGRTGGAAARAGAACCTCATTGTTATACAGAATACATATATGATGTTGTAATGAGAAAAAGGAAAAAAAAGAAAGYGTGTCACATTAGATTGGATAGAGAGAAAGGATGGGAGAGGAGGGGAGGAGTAGGGAGGATAGGAAGGGCAGCAGAATAGAATAGACCACATGATTGATGTATGTACATTCCATGTATGTATTATATATCAAAATGCATTCTACTGTCATGAATGACTAAAAATAAATAAATAAAAATTTTTAAAAAACCCCACCAAGGCCAGAGCCTCAGCTCAGACATTCTGAATAACTGGGTTGTAGCATAAGAACAGGTCTTCTTTACCAGCCTCCCAAWTTTCTAATATATAGTCTTGGTTAAAAATCACGTATCTAACAGGAGGTAGGATTTGCCTGAGGTCAAACAACTATTTAATTTCAGATTTAGGACTAAAATCCAAACCACCTAGCTCACCGACTTTGAACTTTCCACTCACCTGGGAACCTAAAAGAACTAGTTCTATAGTGCTTGCTGCTCTGCCTAAGCCAGGTAGAAATTTGAGTGCAGGAGGAAAGTAATTCTAATTAATAGAGCTCTTGGGAGACCCTGCCTGGGGAAGCTGAACGATGAAGCATCTTAGAGTCCTTAAGATATACCCCAAATTGGATAGAAATGAACTAATCCCATCCTTAYGTGATTCAACTTTTGTAGAGTTTCRTGAAAATTAAGAGCTYGTTTTTCTCAATTTCAAATGTCTTGAGATGGTGCTCTTGGGTGGCTGTCTGTCATAAAATCTAGAAGTTAAGGTACAAAGGATCTTGAAGTTCATAGAGCCCAATGTTTTCCTTAGACCCCAAAAGATCCACMGAGAAAATGCTAGAGTGACTGAGAGCCAAGGGCTTGTAGGCTTATTAATAAACTTGGCTATTAGAGTATTCATTTATCTAAGCTGAAGATCCATCAACTAGCTAATCAGTGACAGCTGCAATCATAAAGATTCTATACTGTCCACTTTCATATTTCTAAAACTTTCAAGTAACCAAAAAGTAGAAKAAAAGAAAAAAGAGAGAATTTCTTATTATTTAACAAAGTGCAAAATTTGCTTTCAGYAGCACTGGGAAAGCAGAATCTTTCAAGTCATAGCGATATGTTTGGGAGTCCCGGATCTAATCCAGATGGGCTTACCGTTTGAGTAAGAGCAGTACAAACATTCCATCGACTCAGGGACAAGGCTAAGGGCTAACACCAAAGACTAGGGACCTTTGGCTGTTATTTCTTTCTAACCCCCCACAGCTGCATTCTTGACCCTCTTGCCCCTCTCCTGCACTGAGAAAGAACATTTAGAACTCAAAGAGACTTCCTTATAGATCAAGGTGGCTTTGACCCAGGGCAAAAATGCTAAGAAGAAAGAAGGGAAAGAAGAGGAGAGAAGAAGGATGGTAGGGGTACTTAGCCTTAAACAGGCCTCTCCTAGTCCTGAGGCCAAGCCAGGGGACCTGATAAGTGTGATTTAACTATCTGGGAACATGTTCCTATCTAATTCGTCCTGCCCCAAGAGAAGCAGACACACGGAAGAAGACACTGGTGGTTAATTGCTCAACATCTCCCAACTCCTAGAGCAGAASACTATCTACACTGAAAACTCATGAAGATTCCAAGAAATCGGAGACAAAGGAAGGCGGGGAAGGAGCACATCTGAAGAAATAGGGCCAGAAGCTAGAGGAAAGTCTAGGCACGCTCAATTTGTTTATGTTTATACATTCTCTTCATTCCTAGTCACTCCCCATTCTACCTGACTATCTCCTAAATGTCCTTATTGGCCTTATGGGCTCTCCACACCAGAGACAACCTCCTTGCCTGGAGTGATGTTCATGGAATACAAACTCACAGGGCTCTCGATACAGGAGTATTTCTCTCTCTCTCTCTCTCTCTCTCTCTCTCTCTCTCTCTCTCTCTCTCTCTCTCCTGCCCCTTCCTCTGGGGGGAAAAAACACAACTCCTATAAATGAATGATGAGGCATCTTAGAGTCAAGGTATTCTCAAAATTGGATACAGATAAACTAACTCCATCCTTACAAGTCAGCTTTTGGTAGTTTGAGCTACACGTATAAGTAGGGTAGCGAATGCTAGAAATTGAAGGGATGGAGTGCCTACTTAGTTTGGGGTCCTTTTCCCTGTTTTTCTCTGTGCATACTATTGTCTTTGGTCTAACCCAACTCAGAGTTTTTGCTTCTTGACTGTAAGAAGTTTATCTTCTCTTTCTCACCTAACCTACCTCTTTTCCTAGTYGTCCATGCTGAGCTCTTCCTATGGCTGGTCTATTCCTCATAGACCATAGATCYCCAGTCACCCAGCTCTTACTTATCTTGCAAAATTCTTCTTCCATTTCTGTTCCTTTATTCCTATATGCCTGACCCATTTCTGCTATTTTTAGCTCACCAGGACAAAAATTTTAGTAATCCATGGATCAATCCCAAATGTAGTTGTACTAGGTTGAATTTTATGTGTTTAAAAGTACTATTTTGAATTTACTCCCTCTATTACACCCAAAAGACAGTTTGTTTTCCCCAGCTACAGAGTCTTGTGTCTACACACCTCTAGTCAGCCCTTCTCACCCTCCCAGTTCTTAAGAACATTATAGAAGGCAGGCCTGTGACCTCAAAGACCWTTTACTGCAATCTGCTGCCCAATCCAAGCATGTCAGAAATTAGGAAGAGGCAGATCCACAAGGTCCTCAACTAGAAGTCAGACAGCTGACCCATTATTGCCAATGAGCTGATATTGATAGTATCCAGAAGAGAAAGCAGGCCAGAAGTGCTGACCCTACCAGAACAGAAAATAACACAGATGTGACTTGGAGTACAATCTTCCTTCTTCAGAAGAGGTTTCCTTGAATATCCCACTACCAAAAAGCTGGTCCTCTTTGTAAAGTGCAAAAAGTTTCACAAATGCATGAGGTTACTAATATGAAGGGCTCTCTCAATGTTGTTGCAAAAGAGTCCATAAATCCCTAGGCAATTACTCTTTCGCTCATTAAATTCCATCTGATTCCTTTATCTTATGCCAAATTCCTACCATGGTGATTTGCAGCCTGCAACTTCTAGAACCCAAGGGTGGTATCTTTCCTGGAGAGCATCAGTCTTGTCTCCAGCATCATTACCCCATGTTACTATTCCCTTTTATCTCTTCCAATAAAATCACCTGTAGTAGTTTCTGTTGGAAGATGATGTTATCTCGAGGATTTGTGCGGTTGCCAACACGGAACTTGAGGGGGCGGTAGACACAACATGTGGTGAAGCACATCATATAGAGAATGTACAAGGCACCCAGGATACAGAAGTACGGCTGCCCATATTTCTTCCACTTGAAGCTCACCAGCTCCTTCACTGGGGTCTGTTCCAAGATCTGGCGAGCCTGCCATGGAAGGAAAGTAGCTTGGGGTGACCAACATTTTGAGGTTATTGAGTTCCCACTGGGTCCCAGAAGTGAAGGACAGTAACCATCATTATCATCATTCATTTAGTTARTCATTTCCTTGAAGGATAACTAGTCCATTTCTACTATATGCTAGGTTTGTGCTAATACTATAGATATACTATTAAGAAGCAAAAACAAGGCACCATAGCACCACTGTAGCTTTAACAGATGAAGAGTAGTTTACTGAATGAAGGAGAGTTAGGAAAGATCATTCCATGAAGTGGCAGCAGGCACCAGGGCAGGAGGGGGTGAGAAGGCATTATCCTTTTGCAGGTGAGGTGTGGTTGGGAATATGGGAGAACCTGTTGGGACTGGTGGACAAAAGATATAATGCGCAAGGTAAATATGAGCCATATTATTGTGTATTGTGTGTGAAGTCTGAATACAATGGAAAGCAAGTGGAAAGTCTAAGCAAGGATATAGTCCAGTTTGCTCTGGAAGTACTGTTAGACTCAAGAAAAGCAGTAAGCAGCCTGTAGAATGTGCCAGAAATCTAAGTGTGATGGGACTGAGAGGGTGAAGGAYGGGATGAAGCATGCCAGAAATTAGGAAGAGGCAGATCCAAGGCAAAGATGAAGGAATTAACCATTAGCATAAAAAAAAACTTTTTATACCACTGAAGCTGGAGGGAAAGAAAGAGACAGAGTGCTTGGCAGTTCAGAGCAGAAAGTTTAAGGATCCCCACCCAGAGTGGCTAAGGTTTGTCACAGGTAGGGGTCTTCTTTGCTGGAACTAAGGGTGAAGGTAGCAAGAATATGAAAAGGGAATAGCTGGGAGGCATTAGGGAAGGGGAAGGTATSAGACCCACAAGAGTCTGTTGAGAACCAGCTGATATCAAAAACTAGACAAGCATGGTGGCAAAGTCCACACAGAGGGACCGGACATCTAATTCCTAAGAAAACCTGCTCAAAGCTTATCCATTTCCAGGATGATTCCTTGAGGAGGGTCACAAAAACTGACCACTCAGCCTTCCTCCCATCATTCATGTTTCCATCATCCATCATAACTGTCCATGTGTTGTGACTCTACAAAGGCTCCTAGGAAATTGTCATGTAGCAGATAAACAACGGAAACTATAGCTTGCCAATATCTTGGAGGTTCCTGAATGCCAGCAGCATTTTCTTCTTCCTTGTATAGACTTCCACAAATTTTCCTTTCCTTCGTGTTATTCAACCTTGGACTGTCTCAATGATCTATGCCTTGTTCCCTCTCTGGAAAGCTCTCTTTTGACTTATCTTCCTGATGACTCCCAACTCCCCGTTGAAGACCTAGGAGGAGCACTTCCTCCGTGACACCTTCTTTGGCCATCCAAGCCAAGTCGACTACACCTCCATGTTGCTGCCCCAGTTCATAGCTCACCACCCTACAATGGTACATCTTGTGCTCTATTGCCATTATTGAGGATAGGGATCAGAATTGAGGAATTTGGCCGACAGGAAACATGTTTTCTCTCTTTCTGCATTCTCAGTTCCTGGGTAGTGTCTGGAACCCAGCAGGTGCTCATTATGCCGAAGGAAAAAAGGAAGAAAGCAAGGGAGGGAGGGAAGGAAGAGTTTCCTTCTGGAGAATTCCTCATCTGAAATGGTAGAGTGGAACAGGTAAGCTGAAGGAACTGGAGCCAAGCAGAGGGAAAACGACCTCAGGAGATCAGTGTTGGCTGGTCTTTCCCCCAGGTGCCAGGAAACTGTTTTCCTCTTGGCCTGTTGTCAGTCCCCTGGAGCCCGGGACCCAGAAAATGGGCAGATACCATGTGTACACAGCGCTCTCTGACACTTCTTGAGTCCATACCTCCCGCTTCTTGGAGGAGACCACAAGTTCTAGAAAGGACAGCTCCTCTCCCCAGGAGTCGATCTCTGTGAGGTCGTAGAGAGTGGAGGTCAGGGGTCCATATGTCCATTGGATGTGCTTCCGCCTCTGCATCAGGTGCTGGAACATCTGAAAGATACAGGGACAAACAGGAGAGTCAAAGTATGAGAAGCTGGTATGAGACAAAACGCCTGTGGACCAGGCCAGTTGCTCACTCTCCACAGATAGTGCAGAATTGGCCATCTTCTGTTTACATGAATCTTCCTCCTTCCTTCCTTCCTTCCTTCCTTCCTTCCTTCCTTCCTTCCTTCCTTCCTCCCTCCCTCCCTCCCTCCCTCCCCACTCCCTCCATTCCCCCCCACCCCTTTCTTTCTTTCCCATAAAGCTCTGTAAGAGGAAATGAGATGAAGGGAGTAGGATTTGAGAATACTATGGAAAATATTTTAAGATGAAAGTCTCAAATGCCACTAGGAGGGGAACCTGAGGTTGAACATTTTGGTGATGAGGTAGAAAGTAGGGGACTACCTCCTTTGGGAGGAGCTTGGAGAGAAGGGTCATAAGAGAGGCACCTTAGGGCTGGGGAGCCCCTCACCACAGTGTTGCCCTCTACTCCAGCCAGCTTGAAGGGGGTGAGGCCCTGGTGGTTGGGCATGAGCTCCAGGGGCTGCAGGTGGTCCCCTCCATCATAGGACAGCAGCAGGTTGTACATCTGGCAGGCAAAGGTTTTGTTGGGCTGCAGGATGAGGATGTGCAGCACTGTGTTTCCTGGGGAGGACACGGGCTGGCATGTGGACACARGTCTAAAGGCCCCSKKGKYCCMWTYCCCCCCCCCSGGTCCTCCCTCACACCCCCAGCCACATCCCAGCACCCCCTCCCATCTCAGCTCTTACCCAGAGAGTCCTGGGCCCKAATGTCAGCTCCATGCTCAATGAGCAGCCGCACAATCTCCTCGCTGCCCACGCAGGCAGCAAAGGACAAAGGGTGCTCCCCTGGGGACACAGAGAGATCCATGGCAGGAGACCACAGGGTCACGAGCTGAGGGGGCAGTTTCTCCCAGGTGACTGCCTGCTTGCTCCTCGCACATCTCAGCTCAGGGCATGGGGCACTTGTCCAGCAGAACCAGAGGAAGGACACTGAAGAGGGTCCTGGGAATTGGCCTCTGGCCTTAAGTCCTGTAAGGGCTGCCCTTCTGCTTCCCCACAGATGGAGCTGAGRGCAAGGCCCTGCTTAKCCCAGCTCCTTGTCCTAGACCTGGCTCTCCACCTCCCCTTCCTCCCACCTGGCCCTGCCCTCACCATAGTAGATGAGGTTGTGGGGACTGCGTTGGAAGGCGGTGCCTGTGGCTCTGGCAGAGACGCTGGCCCCGTGGGCGAGCAGGGCGCGCACCAGGTTCACGTTCTGGTTCATGACAGCGATGTGCAGGGCAGACTGACCTGGCCCAGAGAGAACCATCAGTCACAAGTCCATCTCCCTCAGGTCTCTCAGGGACACAACACCCAGCARAATCCCCAGCAAGAGTCCCTGCCAGTTCCTCATGTAGACTACCACCATGGCTGCACAGAGTGGCCAGAAACTGCACAGAGTGGCTAGTTACTCCCTCGGGCTGCCCAACTCATTGTCCCTACCCCTCCACTACTGGAGGCAGGTGAGGAGGACTTGATGTAAATAAAACCACTGTGGCTGCTATGCAGGGAGCAGAGAGGGATGTCATCAGGGATGCTGACAGGATTGAGATGCAAAACAGCTAAAGGGATCCATGGATACTCAAAGCAAAGGCTGGGATTTGGGTATTTCTCCCAATTCATGGGTGTCATGCTTCCTGGCCCTCTAGTACTTCCCCAAACCCACCCTTCAGAAGTGCATTTCAAGAGGTAACAGCCAACCATCCCATGCCTGTCTCCACCTGGAGTTACCACGCAGCCTCCTCACCTAAAAAAGGCTCACACACGATGGGCTCCTGGACCAGGTCTGGGGCAGCCTCCATCAGYACCATGGCGGCCTCCAGGTTGTCATAGAGGGCCGCTATGTGCAGTGCTGTCTCCCCCAGGGCTCCTGGAGTGGAATGAGACAAGAACGTCAATTCCAGCCAGGAGCCCTCCAGGAAGGAGCTCCTGGCTCCAGGAATACCTCCAAAGTGCCCACATGCTCAGCAGGGAGAGGGGCCTTCTGCCTACCTCTATCCCATTAAACTCTGATCTCACCTCTTTGTCGAAAGTCACAATTTTGTTCCAACAGAAGTTTCTTAAGTGTACACAGGTCATTTTCCTTGGCTGCCTGAAGCAGTGGAGACTCCCATATCCTGGAGGAGGATGAACTGGAGTCAGGTAGAAACCATCACAGAGATGCCAGGAGCAGGGGCAACCAGAGACATCCTCTGTCTAAGATGCACACGTCTCCACTTGGCCACCCTTGCATCATCTACAAGGACTGAAGGAACTAAGGGGACATTAAGGCAAAGTGTGGTCTAAGGGTTTCCCTGGTTCTGGTGCCATCCCTGTCATGAAGATTCCTTGTATACAGGTTTGTGGCTCAGCTGGGGAGGGAGGCTAACAGAAGGGTGCAGTTGCTGAAGGAGGAAGCCTGAGGTCTGGCTGTGACATCCCTGCAAAGAGTTCCTGGGACCCTGCTGACTCATCAAAATTGCGTAGATGTTTCAGGAAATCAGCAGGTGGAGGGAAGGTGCGTTTCTGTGGGGTCCCCCAGGATTTCATGCTTACTGAACCTGCTTTCTGTAGCCAGGGGAGTTTAGAAACCAAAACAGTGAAGGAGGACAAGACCAACTGTTAGGGCTTAGGAAATCTGTAGAAATCATGAGCTTCTAAAGCTCTGATGACTCCTTTGGGCTGTTTAGATACAATGTCTACTGTGGATGGAGAATTTGGGGTAGGTTATGGACCAGGTATTCCTCCTGGACTCAAAGCAAGTTGTTCATGACCGAGGAGGAATGAGCACCGGGCTTCTCAGCTCAGAAATCAGGATGAGACAGTCATCTACACGCCCTCCAAGAGTTCATTATTGTTCCTGCCCTTGTCTGCTTCTAAAGCCATCAAGAGATAAAGCTGGAGCCTGGCCTGCTAGACAACGTAGCCTTGGCTCCAAAGGCAAACACAGAGTCAGGCAGGATGAGGGTCATCGGGCAGAGCAGAGGAGCTGTTTACCTCATGGCCCCGACTCACGGATTCCTTTCTTCCCAGGGCTCCCGGAGCCAGGGGGGAGAAGTGTTCTGGTTAAAGAAGGAGTTCTCTATCCCAGGGAATACCACTGGGAGAGACTTGCAGAGTGAAGGGTCAGCACCTGCCTCTTTCACCCAGGCCCTCAGTCCCAGTGAACTGTGTATCTCTGACCTGTCCAGAGTGGCCAGGGCTAGATTCCAGAGTTCACTCCCTGTCCTAAGGCCACTGTACAAAGCTCTTGTCCCTCCTGACCCTTGGCCGGCTGCTACTCTGCAGAGGGGAGGTCCTGTGACCAGGTCCCTGGGAGACCACTTCAGTCCCACTCTGATGCAGGGGAAGGGGAGATCAAAGGTTCCAGTGTAGGGCGCTGTGGGGGATTGGGGCTGAGTCAGCAGAAGGCCCTGTCAATAGGAGGGTTCAATGTGAAATGCAAATTCAGGACTTCCTCTTCAAAATGATGAACAGTCTCAAGACAGGGACAGCAGAACACTGAACCAAAAACAAGACTCTCCTGACACCCAGAGCAGCCTGCTTCAGAGATGGCTGTCTGCTTGCTCCACCCCTCAGCTCTAGAGTGGGAAGGCCCCACTCCCTCCCCCGAAGGCTGGCCTGCAGGGCGCATCCCTGCCCCCACCCAGGCTGCTTTTCCCGACTCTGGACCTCAGGGAAAAACCATGGGATGGTCCGCACTAGGTAGACCAGCCCTTTCCTGAACGAAAGGAACGGCACAAACCCCATTCATTCTCCATGTAGTGGGCACCTGGTGCACCCCCAAGACAGTACACACAATAAAAGGCAGAATTGAAGGCAGGATTCTGCAATGTCACCCTGGTTGTCCTCTTCAGCTGGTCACCTCCAAGTGTCACACAAAACTAATCTCTCCTCCCCCTTTTCCAGACAACCGACTTTAATTCCAACTGTAACTTCTTGCTCTGTCTTACACCAAGTTTTCTCAACAAAAGACCGGTAATATCTGATCCGATCCCCAGCAACCTGCTCCCAACAACCTGATATTGTCTGTCCTCCCCATTCTATATGCTTGGCTTCTTCAATCTAGTCGCATTTAGTCCTCCTTCCAGGAGGCAGGCAGGTTCCTGCCTGGGCTGTCATTCTGCCCCTGCCTCTATATTGACAAAGTCTCCTTAGGTGGCCCAATGCTACATTCTGCACTACTACCAAGAGGGTCCCGCTGGGGTGCTTTAGTGGGTGGGCTGGAGGGAAGAATATATCCAGGAAGCTGATGCTGAATTCTAGGGTGCAATATCAGGAAAACAGTCCTGTGGATCAGAGGGTTTGAGAATTGGTGCACTTCACACCAACTCCTTAGGAGCCTACCTCTTCTGCTGCAGCATGTAGACCTGGTCCAGGTGCTGGTCCCAGTCTTGCTCTCCAACCAGCCAGGAGGCCAGAAATTTCTGGAGTTGAATCCAAGGCCCTTTTGCCCCCATGTCTTCTTGCAGGCACTGGCAGGGTATGAGACTCTGGTGAGAGGAACAAGCTAGGATGGCAGCAGCAACTCAGGAGGCAGGGTCTGCTTAGGACCCTGAGTGAGTGTATTCTCTGTGTGACTTGTGTGTGCAGGTGTGGTTGTGGTGTGGTGTGTGTGTGTGTGTGTGTGTGTGTGTATGTGTGTGTGTGTGCACGTGCACTGAGGGACTAGCCAACCTGCCTAGGGAGAGGAGGCTTTCCCTGGAAGGGGCGGAGCTCTTTCCAGAGCTGAGCCTGGGGGCACAGAGCTGCCCTGGAGCAGGGATAGGGGAAGGGGAGGGAACTTCTTGGGTCCTGGCCGTCAGCTGGGTCAGCTGAGACCTGGAGAGGCTGAGGAATGGGGCAGACAAGTTTGGAGAGGGAGCAAGGGCAGTGCCTGGAAGGTGGGTCCCGTGAACAAGGTGTGCAGGTTGTGGGTTGCCAGATGTGGGAACTAAAGGCCTCCAGCTCAGGAATCTGGCAGATCCCGGTTTAAGTCCTGCCTCTTACCCCTTACAGCCAGGTGAGCATTCTTCACAGCGATCTTCTGAATTTTTAAATTAGGGGAAGCAATTATACCGTAACAAGAAAGTGTATGTAAGGTACCATGTGTCACAAGACCTCACCAGCTTATTCTCCCCCAAAGAACCCGGGGATGGCTTCTCCTCAAAAGCCTGTGGCTCCTGTCTGGACCTCAAAAGAGGGTGTCTGACTCTCCCCTTTCCAGGCCACCCCTGCCTGTGGTGACTCCTCCTCCCCTGCCATTTTCCTGAGCCCAGCCTGAGCATGACTCTCAGGTACAAATCCCAGGAAACCCCCAGGGGTCTGTGCTCCAAGGGGAGTTGAACAGCAGGAGCCTAGTAAAGTGTAGGACAGGGAAATCTGAAGACTCATTCCAGGAACAAGGCTGCAGGAGGAATGGACACGGATAAGTCGAGGTTATATTACTTTATTGTGTGACAGCTTGTGCCTATTGTTCTGATTGTTCTCAAAAAGGCATATCAATGTCATTGAGTTGTAGTCATTCTGTGAGGTCAAGGGGAATAGGGCACAAGTTCTCTGTTTTCTGAATGAAGGACAGAGCACAGAGGAGAAGTGAGGTTCCCCCAAACCCCAGGGCTGGAGGCAAGACTGGACCTGGCTCTGAATTGGGGATATTGGCTCTCAGTAAGTTCCTCTCCAGATCTTGTTGCTTCTTGGGAGTCTTTTGTCCATAAAGATGTGAGAGACTTGGGTGGGGTATGTTGGGAGCCTCCTCTTGGGGATCCTCTGGAACCAAGAACTGCCTTCCTCCTTTGCTGTGCTCCAGGGAGTAAGGGATGGATAAAATAACCTCTAGAGAAGGACAAGAATTGAAAGGAAAATCAAGCAAGAAAGGAAGAGGAGGTGTCCCGAACTGGGAGGTGTTCTCACCCAGGGAGTGGGGAGGGGTCACCTTGTGGGACATTTTCCTGCCTTCCCGAGGGTTGGGGCAGTGTGGGTGGTAATGATCACTGAAGCCTGGGGACTTCCAGTCTAAGGAGATGGAGGGAGCGATAAGGTTGAAGTGGGGGTTGTAGATGCGCTGATAAGCAGGGGGGGGGGGGCAGGCCAGGAAGGGAGCACTTGCCAAGGAAACACTCAACCCATAAAGCTAATCCTCAGGGGGTGGGGGAGGGAGGAGCTGGCAGTGGAGGAGGCTGGCCCGGTCAGAGCTGCACGGAGCAGGTACCTGGGCTACCACTAAGGGCATCAGCTGTAAGTCTGGGAAGGAGGAAAGAGGGCCCCATGTTCAAGTCCCCACCCCTGGGTCTTCAGTGTCTCCCCTGTTCCCTGCTGCTGCCTACACTGTTGACTTTAATGGGGAGAGCATGAACAAGTACTCTGGATGGAGACCATACTGTCTGCCTGTCCCAGCTGGTAGAGGGGAGATTTGACTCTCTTTTGATCTCCTCTTGTCTTCCGCCACTCCTCATCTTGGCAACAGTCTGCATTGCCATTCTGTCTTCCTCTGTCCTGCCCCAGCTTTCTGTGGACAAGCACACCCCCAATTTAGATAGCGGCTTCCCCAGCCAGGACACCTTAGAGTCTAATGCCGCCAGGTGCCTGGGAGARGAGCTGGGCTGGGGCGCTTCGCCCCATCAACACATCCCAGAGTGCTCTTACAGAAAAGCAGCAGGACTTCTCAGACTGACATGCTGAGAAGGAGGAGAAAACATACCTGGGTTTCAAGTTTTAGGAAATGCCCTGTCACCCCAGCTGCCCACAGGCAAGCAGGAAACAGATCTGAGTTCTACTACATTTTAAAAACATTCAGAGTGAATATCATTCAATGATGGAATGATTAGCCTTTGTGTGTGTGTGTGTGTGTGTGTGTGTGTGTGTGTGTGTACTTTTCTATACTTTACAAAAAAAAAATTTTTTTTTTAAATGGATTGTTGGCTTCCTGCAAGGATTTATTTACCTCTTGACACCAGGAGTCAGGCAGGTGGAAGTAATGGTGGTGGGTATAAACTGGTTCTTTCCACTCCAGCTTGCCCCTCCCGCAGCTGCCCTCCCCATTCATATCTACAGAGCTGGAGATGGCTTCTCTTTGTGCCAGGGAATCAACACGCTCCTCCCCCAAAATAGCCAGGAGGAGATTAGTGATTTTATTTTTTCCGTTCAAGCATTAGTTTTGTGGCTCCGCAGTTCAATGGGTACAAGGAAGGGGTGAGCAGGGTCACTCTCAATCTGCCTCCTTCCTCCTTCATCATCAAGTGCCCTTCCAGACCGCTCTCTGGGTCACTGTCATCTGGGTCACCAGGAATCATGTCAGAGGTGGTATCTGCTGCACAAGGAGCAGCCTCCACAGGAACACATCTGCTAGCCAGGGCAAATCTTGTCACACTTCCCAGGTCTGCAGGTCGCTCTTGAACAAGGGGCACATGTTTTTGCATATGTCCTTGCACCAGCGTGTGCACACTTCATTCGGGCATGGTCTGCGTGGGCAGTGCTAGTGGCCGTGATAGCTCCTCCCCCGTCCCGGGCACCCAGCCTGCCTCTCATGGTTTGGCATCGGCTTCTGGTTTTCCACGAAAGGCCTTCATCCTGTCTCTCCAACCCACAACCATCCAGGGGGCCAACATGTCTGTGCTCACCAGGTTCATGGGCAGGATGAAAGTGAGCTGCAGAGACACCTGCCCCACTACATTTCCTCTGCAGAGTAACTCCTTCCCTCAAGGGAAGGGCTTGGAGATGAGCCTGTGTCTTAAAGAAAAGTGTAAAAGAAGAGAAGAGACTCCCAGGTGCCATGGTACACACCTACAATTTCAGCTACATGAGAGGCTGAGGCAGGAGGATCGCAAGTCTGAGGTCAGCCTGGGCCCCTTAGTGAGACCTTCGGTGGTTGGTTGGTTGGTTGGTTTATTTTTATTTTTGGCTCACAGTTTCAGAGTTTCAGTCCTGGGTCAGCTGTCTCCAAGGCAGAAATGTCATGGCAGTGGCATCCCCCAGACAGCTGCTCAGTTCATGGCAGATGGGAAGAAGAGAGGGTGGTGGGGGCAGGGACAAGAAATTGTCCCCAAGAGCACACCTCCAGTGGTCTGCTTCCTCCAACTGGGTCCCACTTCCTACAATTTCTATCCCCATCCAATAGTCTATTCAAAATATTAATCCACCAAATGGATTAATCCACTGGTGAGGTTAGAGCCTTCAGATCCAATCATTTTTTAAAAGCCCTACCTCTGAACCCTGTTGCACTGGGGACCAAGCCTTCAACACATGAGCTTTTGGGGGCCACTCCAGATCCACACCACAACACCCTATCTGAAAAGGTGGAGTGCTGGGGATGTAGCTCAGTGGTGAACCACTTGCCTAGCAAGGTATGACCCTGGGTTCAATCATACTTGGTACAGAGAGAGAGAGAGACAGAGAGAGAGAAAGAGAGAAGGTTTTTAGCTTCAAGTGGTACAAGAGGACAAAGTCTAGGAAAGGAAAAAAAATAGAGGAGAAGGAAGAGGAGATAATGGCTTCTACTCAGGGACAAAAGACTGTTCTGTTTCTATATCTGTGCATTCTCTGTGTATGTGTCTCTGTCTCTGTGTCTGTCTGTTGCTCATGCACAGGTTTAGAGCATGAGAATTTTCCCTCTCTCCATCTGCCCCACTCTATTTCACTTTGAACAGACTAGGCTTTCATGCACAGCATGAAGCATGTTCCCAGGATTTGGTGATCTTTGTTGCTTGTTGCTACGTCTGGTCTGGCCCTTATCTATTCAAGACACTCTCTTTTAAGAAATGCTACGTGGACAGCGGAGAAATGTCATGTTCACATTCAAAAGCTGTAATTGAGAGTCCTGCTCTGCCCATTCATTGGTAACTCTATGATCTCGAGAAAGAGATCATTTCTTCTGTGAACCTTGGTTTCCTCATCTATATAATGGGTATGAGAATACTAGTACTTCGGAGTGCCAGTGCCTGTGTGGAACCAATAACATAGTGGATTTGAAAGTACTTTGTAAGCTGGGCACAGTGGCTCACACCTGTAATCCTAGCATCTCAGGAGCCTGAGGCAGGAGGATTGCAAGTTCAAAACCAGATTCAGCAATTTAGTAAGGCCCTAAGTAACTTAGCAAGACCCTGTCTCCAAATAAAATAAGTAAATARATACAAAGAACTGGGGATGTGTCTCAGTGGTTGAGCACCCATGGGTACAAAATAAAAAAGAAAGTACTCTGCAAGCTCTTAAGTCCTTTTTATTGCCATCTCTACAGGATGACCCACTGCAGCCATTATAAAAGCCTCTGCCATCCCCGGCTGGCTACCCTCCTCCTCCCGCCTGGCAATGGAATGCACTAGTGAGCTGGAATGAGCATGGGATCCATGGCTGTGATGTCACAGAGCACATGAAGTCAGAGGTCCTATGGAAGAGAAGAGAGGAAATCGATGCAGGGAAAGGGTAAGGACTGGGACAGGGACCGGGAGGCAGGTGGGGGAAGCCTGCTGGGCACTAGGGAGCTGGTGGGCCAGAAGCTGTGGGTGGGCAGGCCCATGACATCTCTGGGCTCCCAGCTCTGCTGGGTAGCATTCCTGACAGCCCTCCTACTGCTGCTGCGGGTGAAGGGGATGAAGTCTCAGAAGGGCAGCCCAGACATGGATGAGGGGAAGCAGAAAGAGAAAATGGCTTCTGCAGGTAGGTGGAGAAGAGAGAGACAAAGTCTGGAGGTAAGGGTTGGGTCTGATTGAGGCCAGGCCTCAGGTAGCTGTTCAGATGAGGGTGCATCTGAGATGGGTTTGGATTCTGGGAGACAGCTCCGTTTCCCTATCAGGGTAGAATGTCCTGTCTGGAGCAGGGAGGGTTCCCAGCCAGGGCCCACCTGGGCCAGCTGTAATTGCATGCAGCTTCTGCATGGGTGAGCATGAGTGTCCTGGAGGAGAACCTGGGTTTTCCTCATATTGAAAGATGTCCCTCATTCCCCCAGGATGGTACCACTTTAGAGGAGACAGCTAGCCTTAGAGGTGGGGTTTGGGTGTGTGGGATTTGGGGCTGTGGTTGAACCCAGATCAGAAAGGACATCTAGATGGGGAGCACCTCTCTCGTCAAGGCCAAAGAGGTGGCGATTGTGCCAAATCCCCTTGGTCCCCACTTTTCTCTCTCAGCCAGGTCAAGGTGGGGGCAGGTCAGGATCAGGGCCGCCCATCCCTCCCCCTCTTCCCTGTTCCAGACCAGAACCAAGAGCAGTTTGAAGAACATTTTCTGGCTTCCTCGGTGGGTGAGCTGTGGCAGGTGATGGACATGGCCCAGCAAGAGGAGAACACGACATCGAAGGCAGCAGCTGTCCGAGACCACCTTTTTGATCTAGCCTTCTGCTTTAACATGGCCAGCATCATGGTTTTTTTATAAGAGACATTGAGGCTGAGGTGGTGGCCTGGTTCCTGAATGAAAACCTGAATGTCTGCCTGCGCTTCATAATTGCTCACTGACCTCTTCCCCCCAGTGGGCTTCAGGTCACTACTCCCCAAAAGGGCTCACACACCACTCCCCACCTCTTATCACTGGTACCTAGACTCGGTGCAGCAACAGAGACTGCAGTTGCCACCCCACGCCCAGAGTTTCATCTCCCACCGCCAGAGCCATCACACCAGACCTACACCCTTCTCTCTCTTACACCTCTCCTGGCTTTGTCCAAAACAGAAGATTAGAGGGAGGAGGCAGTGACAATAAAATAGCAATAAAATCCTGAAAACCATTGGGAGCAGCTTTCTGAGCCCTCACCAAGCCCTTGGGGCTCTAAATGGTCTGTGGAATTGCCAGCCCTTTGGCCCACTGACTGACTGACCTTCAGACCCACCATCTCGCCAGCTCTTTCCTTTTCTACCTACCGTCCTTGGCATGTTTCCCTCTTATCTTTTCTGACTTCTAGGAATAGAACATAGCAGGAAAGAGTCATTGGGAGACAGGTGGGGACCAAGTGCCGCCTTTTATTTGGAGAATAGAAGGGAAAAGAGATGGTGCCCCACTGCCTGGATGGGCCAGGGGCTGCTGATCCACCTGCATTGCTGTGTCTGTGGGTCCATGTTACCAGAGCTGGCAGCGGCTGGAGGGGTTCATGAGGGCATCACGCGGACACCGAAAATGTCTGGCAAAGGCTGGGGTGTTGCTGAGAGGTCCATGGACTCGAAGTCTGGGAGGGCTGTGAGTGTCCCGGGAGTGCTCGGTGCTGGGTTCCCTACACAGGACCTGAGGAAGGGTAAGGAGCAGAGAAGTCTTGACTTTTACTTTCTAGTACTAGGAACTGAACCCAGGGGTGCTGTACCACGTAGCTACATCCCCAACCCTTTCCATTTTGTTAATTTTGAGACAGAGTCTTATAAATTTCTGAAGTTGGTCTCAAAAGTTGCAGTCCTCCTGCCTCAGCCTCTCATGTCACTAGTATTACGATGTGCCTGACCAGGTCAAGTTCTTATAGGTTTATTAGAACAAGGCTGGGGCTAAGGGTCACCAGGAGTAGCAGACAAAGAGTAGAGCAGGATTCAAATGCTCAAGGGCCTAGTAGAATTCATGTCATTTGTAAATCACTTAATCTGGCACTAGGAGAGCAGAGGAGGGCCCAAGCTACGCAATGACACCATTGGTGAGGACTCCGGAGGCCGAGTCTAATAATGAGACAGCTCTGCGAGGGAGCTGGGGACTGTGCCTCTTGGGGCAGCACAGGTGATAAAAGGGGTCATGTCAAACGGGGACCACTCCTGGAGGTGAAGTCTCTGAGGAGGAATGTTACATATCGTCAGCTTCTGGTAGGGTCATTTTAAAGGGTCCGTATTTCTGGCCTATGAGATAAGAAAATGTTGGACTCAACTCATGGAGGGAGGGACCTAGAAGGAGAAATTTTTTCTTCTTTTTGAGGAGGGGGAGGGTTGCTGATTTGGTTGAAGGATTTTTTAGTAATCTGGAGGGTGAGGGCAAGGGGACAAGTGAGAAAGGACGACAGCAGGGACATCCGTGGCAGTGAGTCAGGGGTATTTGAAGAGGGTGTGTCATAGAGAAAATGCCTTTGTGTATTAGTAATAGGGTGCTTATCAGATCTGAAGCAAGCTGAGGAAGGCAGGGCAGCTGCTTACCTGGGCATAGCTTCTGAAGAAGAGCTGGTGGGGGCTGAGGTCCCAGTTGGGCAGCTTGGTCTCCCCACGGTACTCTAGGAGGCTCCTGCTGTATGCCTGGATTGGGGGGATAGGATGAAGAGTTGTCTTTATGCTTGAGACCATCTGGAAGCTCGATGCCGTTCGAGCAGTACCTCAAACAGACTCATGGGCCTTTGTTCCCTGTTCTGAACTAACACATTGGTCTGAGCCAAAAGAAAGAATATTTTCCGGAAGACTGATAGATTTCTTAGAAAGTGGGAGGGGGGAATCTACAGGGAATGAGGTGTGTCCCCAAGCTGCCAACTGATATGTGGAGATATAAAGGGCAGAAAATTATGTAAGTCTATTTGCATGAGAGAAGGTGGAAGGAAAACTTGAGGACAGTGCCTTTCAGTCTGCTGGTGAAGACAGATGGTGACCATTGACCCACCTGGAACGCAATGGCCAGCCCCCCCACATCTGCGGCATTCTCTAGGAGCGTGCTGGAGCCATTGAAGGAGGTTCCACTGGGCAATGGGAAGGCAGCGTAATGGCGCTCCAAACATAGGAGTGCCTCCTGCAGGGCCCGGGTGTCACAGTCCAGGCAGTCCCCAGGGTGGACTGTTGAAAACAGAGCAAGAAAATGAAATGGCAAGGGATGTGGGTTGTGCCACAGAAGGTTCTGGCTCCCAGAAACATTGCAGGTTTCTAGGACTGTCCCTCCTGGAGCCCTTGAATAATCCTCCTTTCCCCTGTAGGACTTCTTTGAGGTCTTCCCTTGGGTTCCCTGTGGTCCCACATCCCAATGGCCCCTGTTACCCACAAAGCTGGTAGAAGATGTGCAACAGCTCACGGGCCATGATGCTGCCAGCAGCGCCAAAGTTCACGGCTCTAGGGATACAAGAGCCTGTCTTACCCCCAGAATCCTTCAACATTTTTTACCCCAATTCTCCAGCCACGGATCTCATCCATCATAACAACTGTTAATCTCTCCTGGGAAACTCCCTGGCCACCCTCCCAGAATGGCCCTTACCTAGGGTAGTCAGGGTGGAAGAATGGAGGTTGCAGGAGTCCTGCTGGGAAGACCACCTCATGGTCAGGTATGGAATAGGAAGCAGTGACCCCCCAGGGGGACACCTGCCACCTGTGGGGAAAGGACATATGAACACAGCTCCATCATTAACTGCCCCAAGGCACCTACAATTCCTCCAACTAATATCACTGTCCCCATGGCCACCTCCAAGTCTCCAGATGCCTTTCCTACTAATTACAGATGGGGTATCTCAGGGATGGCACGTCCCTATCTCCTCTGACCCCATACCTGTGGTAAGGGAGAGGCTGCAAGAAGCTCCAGACCTTTCTAGCTTGGAGAGATCGGACACAGCTCAGAAAAGACTGCAGGAAGTTAGGTCCAAGTTGTATCTAGAGAGGAGGCAAGAGGTGACTTGGGCACACAAAGACAAACACTGACGGACATCTATGTATTCCAAGGAGCACATTAAACCCAAACACACATAATACCCTCATACACACACATCCATGAGTTAGTGGAGACCACTACTACTGTGGGTGCAGACACGCTCCACGTGCGTGCATCAGCACACAGACAAACATACACAGGAAGTCACAGAAGACACAGGTGTGTGCACACAAGCATCACAGCCTGAATAGTTTCTGTTTTTCTGCTGGCAAGACCCAGCCAGCACCAGGGCAAGGAAGTGGGTGGGTAAGAATTGCTCAGGGAAAATGGATGATGTGGATAAGACTTGGCTAGGTTAGGGAGGAGAGCTGCAAAAGGCAGGGACCCACATTGCTGTATTCTTGTCTGGCCAGCTCCGGCTTCAGGGTCCATTCAGGGGCTCCCATCTGCACCTGCAGCTGAGTGATCTGGGGAGAGACATGAAAGGTGGTAAGGACCTCACATTCCCTGACTGTCTCGGAGCCTTTAATACTGTCTCCAGGCGTGTGTGCAGCACAGTGGCATCTGTACTTCCCGCCTGTGCCTTTGGCTCTCTCCCCCTCCACTGTCGTTTGACCTACCCCTAAGCATTCCCACACTGGCCTGCAATCTTGGCCTTACCCTGTTCTGGGCCTCTCTTCGGGTCTTTTCACTTATCCAGGGGAGTCTTTTGAGGTGTGCGACAAGGGCATCTTTGATCTCAGTGAATAGCTCCATGGCCTGTGGGGGTGAGGGTGGGGGACAGGGTAACAGAACCAAGATCAGCCTCAGCTCTAGCTCTGCCACAGCACTGACCTTCAGGGGGCCTTGGCTCTGGAGGATGCCTTCACAGGAGGAGCCATCACAGAAGGAAGAAGAGCTCAGAAAGAGGAGGGGAAGGCCTTTTCCTAGGTACTATAAAGGCAGGGCTAAAAAGGCAGTGCCAAGTACAGAGAGGAAAGTGGGAGCTGGCCACCACTGGTCAATCAGGAAGAGGGAGATCTGAGCTGGAGAGGCCCTTACAGTTGGAGCCAAGGGAGAAGAGGGCTGCCGTCTCCCCCTCTGCTCTCGGGATCGGGATCTTGTCCTCCCACCCTCCCTCTCGATGCATGCACTTCCTCTCTTCATCCTTCTGAGCTCTTCAGCTTCCTAACAAGTGGGCCTCTCCCCATCTTCAGGGCCTGAAAGTAGAGTTCCTGTTTTTCAGCCACCCAGCATCTTGCATGCATCCTCTCTTAGGGGAAGAAAGTGAGTGACAATATTCGGAAGCCTGGGCTCTGGCATCAGACTGCCCGAGTTCAGTCCTGACTGTGCTGTTTGGTAGCTGTGTGACCTTGATCGAGTCATCTAACCTTTCCATGCCTCAGTTCTTGGTCCTATAAAATTAGGATGATACCCAGACTTTAATACAGTCGCAGGTGAAATACTTGCAAGAGTCCCAGCATGTGACAGACACTCACCAAGTGTCCTGTAGTTATGTATTTGTACTCCTCAAGGTTACGTCACCTCATGCTCATGTCATGTCATGTGTTACTCTAAAGTCTTAGATAAACAGGGAGGAGCCTTAAAGGTCAGGGAGTTCGATTTTCTCATTTTATGGTTGAAGAAACACAAGACCAAGGAAGTCGGTGACGTGTCCAAATTAGTGCATGTTATGCCTACTCGTGTTCCATAGCTGAACTGTGCCCACCCAGGGGGTGGAGGGACCTCTGGGATCCCCCTGTCACCTACACATACTACTGAGAAGCATGCAGTCCATAGGACGGGGCAGGGGGCGCAGCAGGGGATTGCTCTCACATACAGCACTTCGGATGCCTGGGCCAAATGCCTCATGAACAAACAAG